TTATTCATGAGTATCACGTTCACGAGATAACCATTTAAGTTTTTGAGAATAAGTTTACAAGAATTGTATTGATAAGGCAAACAAATATAGTTTTAAGCAACATATATTAATAGAACATTCATCACCATTGTCTTTTTCACTTGATATTCCCTTCACGTGCCGGTTCCTTTTATGATCTTATTATCCTTTTACTTGATTTGTTTCCCTCTGATTTTACAGCAAGTGATTAGATTAGCATGATAGTATCTATCAAAAATCATATATTATATATAATTAGCTTGTATCATATATCTCCATTTTTTATAATTAGATATTACTAAATGTATTGGGAAAAATTAAGTTTGTATATGAAATTTATTATAAGATGACATGACACATGGACCAGTCAAAGGAGGATTGGTGATGAAAAATAATCAAAGAGGCACGAGCTTCAACAGGCACGGGTAGATATTCAAGAAAAAGTAAGAGAGATAGACGCTCGAACCTCTTTATGATGGAAGAGAATGAATCTGATAGTAAATAAGGTATAGATATGTACTACTACATTAAATACGGAAAACGTTAAGGAATCTGTATTAAATCAAATATGATTACTGATACGTTACAATAAATGCCATTAATTATCAATAATGTCACTATTATGGTAAAAACAAAACGTATTACCTAGAAATAACTATAAAAGGAGAAGATTGATTATTTGTAAGGACATGAAATACTATTGGAATACATTGATTTACTTTGCGTTCAGCTATTATTTCTCAATTCTTCTTATTTCTATTTGATTATCAGTAACCCGAGTTCTTCTAACATAAGCTTTGACCGAAATTCCTATTTTTGATTAAACAAATTGGTTCCATTACCGGGAATCTGATAATCGTTTACTTTCTTAATCAATTCTTTCATCAAAAAACTTACCATGTCGAATAACAACAACAACCAACAAGATCCTCAACATCATGAGAATGATGCGGGTAACAGGACCCCACTTCCCTCACCGCGTGATTCACAATGTTAGTCACGAGAAGGAACTCTAGATGGCTCTGAAACAAATAACGGGATTGCGAACCAAAACGGATTTGAGGCAAATCAAAATACTGGAGTTGCGAACGAGCAAGCACTCGATGATGCTCTGAAGAATCTAATTGCTCAACAAGTTAATAATGATCTCCGGGATTTTACCAGCCAGTTGCCAGTTACGCCACCAATGCCAACTCCGAATTAGAATACTTTGGAAAACCCACATTCTGGGCTCATTCATTCAGGAACTGGTGGAACTCCAAGCGAGTCTCGTGATGGCGAACCAGGTAACATAGTTAACTCTTATTTACAAAGTTTAGTTCTAACCCTGCAGAAGCAGTTCAAAGAACAAAGCGATCGCATAGAACAAATACTTGGAGTACTACTTGTAATCAAAGGAATAGACATGGATAAATACTCACAACAACCATGGAAGCCTAGTGCTGTTCCGGTGTCAATACCGAAGAAGTTCAAGATGCCCGATATTCCAAAGTATGATGGCACAACTGATCCACGAGACCACGTGACTGCATTCACAACTAGTGTGAAAGGCAATATTGCACCAAACAAGAAATCGAATCAGTATTGGTCAAGAAATTTGGTGAAACACTCACCAAGGGAGCATTGACATGGTATTCTCTCTTACCCGAAAATTCTATAAATTTTTTTGCTGAGCTTGCAGATTCATTTATCAAAGCGCATTTGGGAGCTCAAAAAGTCAAAAAAAAGAATGAAAGATATTTTCAAAATCAATCAAAGAGATTCAGAGTTGCTTAGAGAGTTCGTGGATAGGTTCCAGCGTGAAAGAATGACGCTACCATGCGTACCTGATAGCTGGGCATCTATATATGGCTTTTGAATGAGAAAAGCTCAGAAGCCACGAGATGACTCAAGTAAAGTCTACATGAATTTCCAGCAACAACCTGGGAACAATAGATACAGTATGAAGCTAAGGATAGAATAAGACACTATCTCCCGGTCTCAAAAAGAGGAGAAGGTGAGTTCAAGACATGCAGAAATCGAAAAAAAGGTCTAGTATAAATAGATACAAACCATATATGGGCCCAGCAGGGAAAGACTCACGATCAAAGCAGGACAATTCAAGGTATGATCATAGATCAAGGAATAGAGAGTCATGCTCATCATCGAGGTTTGGAAATGATCGAAACACACGAGAGACGTGAGATGATGATAGAAACTTGAAGGCAAGATTTGGCGGTTACAATTTTAATGTCAGTATTTCAGAGTAGTAGCCGTATTAAGAAGCATTGGTGATAAGGTGCGGTGGCCAAAAGAAATGAGATCAAATCTAAATAGACGTAATCCTGACCACTGGTGCGAATTTCACAACAATCATGGTCATAAAATAGCAGATTGTAGTTTGCTACAAGGAGAAGTCGACCATCTACTGAAACAAGGGTATCTTACTAAATTATTTAGTGAAAAAGGTAAGCAAGCATACATGAAGAAGAGGCAGGAGCCCCCTAAACCTCGTTCTCCGAAAAGGGCCGTTAATGTTATAAGCGAGGGCGAGGAAATCAATAGCGTAACATATACGGCGGCCAATAAAGTTTCTAAGGTTACAATTACCTACAGGAAACGGGTCCGACATGTTCTGGAGGAAGAAAGTATTATATTTGATAATACAGATACGGATGGTGTGTTAACTCCACAAAACGATGCACTGGTAATCTCTCTACTTGTACATGAAACTAATGTGAAACAAGTTTTGATTAATCCAACTAGTTCCGTGAACATTATTTTGCTAAGAGTACTAAGCGAGATGCAAGCTAAAGATAATCTAGTACCTAAGGCACATACTTTGTCTGGCTTCGACAATTCAAGCGTTATAACAAAAGGGGAGGTAACACTTACAACATTCGCAGAAGGGGTGGTCAAAGATACGAAATTTCAAGTGGTAGAGATGGAAATAGCTTACAATATGATTCTCGGGAGACCGTGGATCCACGAGATGGATGTTGTTCCATCTACCTTACATCAAGTTATTAAATTCCCATCACTATGGGGAATACGTGAAATCCGTAGGGATCAACAGACTTCTAGGAGCATCAATTCTGTAGCAGATTCAAGTATGAAAAATGAAGAAAAGTAGCAATTACAGAATCCAGTTGAGGATAACACGACACAAGCCTCAACTGAACAAGGATGGACAGATGTGGACTTAAGGCCCGATTCCATTCAAGAACCAGAAGAAAATGAAAATATCAAAACAACAATTGAAGAACTGGAGGTTGTAGAGTTATTTGCACTATGGCCTGAAAGGAAAGTCTACATTGGGGCCAACTTAAGCCACGACACGAAAGGTAAGTTGAATGAATTTTTAAAAACTAACGTGGATTGTTTCGCCTGGTCCCATTCTGATAAGACAGGAATACCCCCAGAAGTAATGACTCACAAGTTAAATGAAGATCCATCGTATCTGCCAGTTAAGCAAAAGAAGGGAAAGCAGGGGACTTACAAAAATCAGGTGATTCAAGATGGGGTTTAAAAACTATTAAAAATCGGGTATATACGCGAGGTAAAGTATCATAATTGGTTAGCCAATACTGTGGTAGTATCGAAAAAGAATGGCAAATGGCGAGTTTGTGTAGATTACACCGACCTTAACAAAGCATATCCTAAAGATTCTTTTCCATTATCATATATAGATCAAATGATTGATGCTACTGCAGGACATGAATTGTTAAACTTTTTAGATGCGTATTCAGGGTACAATCAGATCAAAATGGATCCCATAGATGAAGAAAAAACTTCATTTATAACAGACAGGGGGACTTACTGTTATAAAGTAATGCCATTTGGTCTCAAAAATGCTGGTGCCACATATCAAAGATTGGTGACCGAAATGTTCCAAGAACATTTAGGAAAAACTATGGAAGTCTACATAGATGATATGCTTGTCAAATCTCAACAATCAGGAGATCATATATCGCATTTGACTGATACAATTCAGATCTTACGAAAATTCAATATGAAGCTAAATCTCGAGAAATATGCATTTGGCATTTCATCAGGTAAGTTTTTGGGTTTCCTTGTTTCTAACTATGGTATTGAAGTAAATCCCGCACATATTAAAGCCATTGAAGAAATTCTTGACATGCTTACAAATAAGAAAGAGGTGCAGAGACTAACAGGAAGAATTGCAGCCTTGGAAAGATTTATTTCCAAGTCATCAGAAAAATGTTTTAAATTCTTTTCGGCTCTTAAAAAGCAAGACCAGTTCGAATGGTCAGAAGAGTGTCAACAAGCGCTCAAAAACCTGAAAGCATACCTGCCAAACCCACCGTTGCTTGCAAAATCGAAGGTCGGAGAAATTTTACTTATTTATTTAGCTGTTTCAGAAGTAGCGGTGAGTGTTGTTTTAGTTCGTGAAGACCAAGGTAAACAATCTCCAATTTATTATGTTAGCAAATCATTATTAGATGCAGAGACGCGGTATCCCCAATTAGAAAAGCTTGCACTTGCATTGATCATGGCATCTAGAAAACTAAGGACTTATTTTCAGTGCCACCCTATTCCCATAGTAACTGCTTATCCATTGCGCAATATATTACATAAATATGAGTTATCAGGTAGGTTAGCCAAGTGGGCCATAGAATTGAGTGAATACGATATCACATATCAACCTAGAAGCGCTATAAAATCTCATGTGTTAGCAGATTATTTGGCTGATTTTAGCCATGGGATACAATTAGAAGCTGAAAAGGAACTACAGGTGTTTAATGGGTCTAATCCGGGAATTTGGACCTTATTTACTGATGGCTCGTCTAATGTGAAGGGGCAGGTTTAGGAATTGTTTTGGTACCACCTACGGGTGAAACATTCGATAAGCCATAAAATGTCATCCTATAACTAACAATGAGGCAGAGTATGAAGCTGTAATTGCAGGTTTAGAACTGGCACGTGAATTTGATATTAATCAGATTATAATCAAAAGCGATTCGCAGCTCGTAGTTAATCAAATGCTGGGGACTTATACAACCAGGGAAGCACGAATGCAGCAGTACTTAGAGAAGGTACGAGATCTGATTAGGCAATTCCAAACCTGGAAAGTTACGGAGATACCACGAGATGAAAATGTTGAGGCAGACGCCCTAGCCAATCTCACATCCACGGCGGACGTGATGAGCAATGAAACTGCTTGCGTAATCCATGTGTTTCATTCAGTTCTCGATCCTGACAAAAATGAGGTAAATTTCAATAACTTAACCTGGGATTGGAGGAACGAGATTGTCACTTTTTTGCAGTATGGAATCGTCCCTGAAGACAAGAAAAAAGCTCTCGCGCTTCGTAAAAAGGCTGCTCGGTACTGTTTAAAGCAAGGCTATCTTTATCGAAAAATGTTCGGTAGTCCCTTAGCAAGATGCCTCGGGCCTTCTCAAACGGAATATGTAATGAGAGAGATACATGAGGGGCATTGTGGAAATCACGCAGGAAGAATATCACTGGTAAGAACCATGATTAGAGCAGGCTATTATTGGCCGAAAATGGAAGAAGAAGCGGAAAATTTCGTTGCTAAATGTGATAAGTGTCAAAGATATGGTAATAACATGCATAGACCTGCGGAGTTGCTACATCCGGTCATTGCACCATGACCTTTTATGAAATGGGGAATGGACATCGTGGGTCTACTACCACAAGCAAAAGGCAAGGTAAAACTCTTGCTTGTACTCACTGACTACTTTACTACATGGGTAGAAGCAGGAGCATTTAAACAGGTACAAGAAAAAGAAGTCAGAGATTCATTTGGTGAAATATTATATGTCGATTCGGTGTACCAAAGAAAATCGTGTGTGATAATGGCCCGCAATTTATAGGCGCACAAATCACAGAATTTTTTCGAAGTTGGCAGATTAAAAGGATTGCCTCAACACTTTATCATCTGATGGGTAATGGACAAGCTAAATCGACAAATAAAGTCATTATCAATAATTTGAAGAAACGATTGGAAGAATCCAAAGGTAATTGGCCCGAATTGCTACCTGGTGTTTTATGGGCATACCGCACCACAGGAAAAACAAGTACGGGTGAAACACCATTCTCATTGGTGTACGGAGCTAAAGCCTTAATTCCAGTTGAGATAGGGGAGCCAAGCATGAGGTATACGTAAGCGTCAGAGGAATCCAATGAAGAAGAAATGCGCATAAACCTTGATTTACTTGAAGGAAAAAGGGAAGCTGCATTAATAAGAATGGCAGCACAAAAACAATTCATGGAATGATATTACAATCGGAAAGCTCGTCTAAGATACTTCAAGATTGGGGACTTCGTACTCAAGAAATTTTTTCAATCCACGAAGGCGGCTAATGCGGGAAAATTAAGTCCAACCTGGGAAGGACCTTACAAGATTCATGGCATCGAGGGGAAAGGAGCATACGAGCTGGAAACAATGGATGGCAAGATATTACCTTCACATTGGAATGTCGTTCACCTGAAGAGATAAGGAGCATACGAGCTGGAAACAATGGATGGCAAGATATTACCTTCACATTGGAATGTCGTTCACCTGAAGAGATACTATTTCTAAGGAGTACCCACGGTCAGGTATCCTCATTTTAAAATTTTATATTTTAATTGTTAAAATTTTACTAACGATTTTAGATGATAGGCAAAAAGCTAAACCGTACTAAATGATGAATCACGACCTGCAAGGCACGTGGAATAAATTAAATTCTTGGTCTAGGGTTACAACTATTCTGATAGAAATTGAGACGGGTTAAGCAGTCTACATCCATAATCGTACCTCCGAATCCTGTATGTTTTATTCCTTTTCAGGAAAAGGACCAAATAAGAGGAGGTAATCAAGTGCTCGAGACTTCATACTTCAAAGCTCAAACACTTGGGGGACTATATAATATACATAGACATATGTATAAAGAAGGCAAAGAAGATTGGGAAATAATCAAAGTTCAAGCCTGAAAAGTTTACTCATTGAATGAGTCAAGTGCAGGGCAAATTACGAGCCAAAGCTAAAGAAAAATCTTATCATAGTTAGGTTAAAGGCAATGTACTGGAACGGGTTATAAATAAAAACCTTGTGCTTTATTTTATTTTTTTGAAATCTGTTGTAAGGAAAACAGTTACGAAAAAGTTATAGAAGTTATTTAAACACATGTAAGGTGTTATTTAAAACTTGACAAAGTTCAAATAAAAACTTGCCAAAGTTATTTCAAGAAACATGTGTATTCCTATTTCTTTTGTCGTACATTTACACCATTATGAAGTTGAGACGTTTTCTTCATTAAGTGTTGAATATAAAAGGGCCCTCTTTTATAAAATTCATGATTGATTTAAACATTCATGAAGTTAAAAAAGCATTTTGCAAAATAAAAGTGTAAATTATTGAATAAGTCTTTAAATATAAAGGCAAGAATGAGAAAAACAGAAGTTCAGAAATAACTACGAAAACTTTTTAATATTAAAAAGTTTAGACCAAATATGAACTTAGTCATAAACTAAGAGTTATTTATACAAAATGCCCCGAAAAAGGTATGAGGACTTAATGTTTTCAACAAACCCTCAAATGGGACCAAGGATTATAACCACATTCCACCAAAGAAAGAAAAAAAGAGGAGTCTTAATTATAGGGTAATGTATAGGGAACTTCCCATCGTTTAATTAAGCAAATTTTAAAACAAGTAGGGATTAAATCTTAATTGAAATGTTATATTCCTTGAGCAAGAAAACAAATACTACTAAGTATAGGTATGTCTAAATATTATTGGAGAGAAGTAGATATTTTTGCCAATAAAAGACCAAACAAATCCTACATACCTAACATCCCAAGTATATATGAATCTCCAGCGCAAGAAAATTAGGTATCAGTTTGTACCGGTCTATTTTAATCGGTGGCGAATACATCTCTTACAACAACAAGTTTATCTGAACCTAGTATTTTCAATTTGAAATATAAATATATATATAAAAATTTACTAAAGTTTTACTCTTAAATTTTACACATAATTTTAAAAAGCAGACTAAGTTTAGTGCAAAAAAACCTTAAAATCGAATCCATATTTTTTTTATCAATATATTAAATTTAATTCCTAGATATACCTCTAATTTTAATGTAGTTCATTTTAGGAAATGGATGACTCAACTACGTAGCAAATCGCAATCCCACTTGAATCTCGTTTTTTTTTTTACTCAATCATTTTTGGATTTAAGCACGCGAACAAATAATATATATCATAAACTAAAAGCGCAAATTTCCCTATAATATATATCGTGTTAGAGGATTTAAGTCGATTGGATAAGAGACATTGTTGATTTCAGAGAGTTTCAATAGTCACTGATTGCTTTTTCAATAATTGATTTGAGGGGCCTATAGCTCTCTGATTAAGTCTATCTTTATGAATGGTGGCAAATTATATGACACATTGATACTCTAGATTTACCAATTCAATCACAAGATTAATTTGGAGCCACAATTCACTGAACCAGCAATTAGACCGCTGGAGATACACATGTTTCTTGATAATTTGGTCGTTTGAGCTCTGCCATGAATTCTTGATATAACACCTTTCTTATTTTTAGTGCTCTCTCTTTCTATGTTTCTAGTATGAAAACAATACAATAATAATAACATTAATACAAACAACAAATAAAAAGCATAATGAACATCTTGATTACCAGTCCACCCTCTTAGATGCAGACATTTAACTAAATTCAATATTTTCAACGACGAAATAAAATTATATATGTGAAGAATTATAAAAGTGTTATACTAATAAATATTAAGTTCTGAATTCATGATTACTTGATAGTACGGTAAATTCTATCTAATAAACTCTAAAGGTTGAACTTTCAAATTTAAATTTTTAACTTACCTCTGCTCCTCTCCTTTTAACATTTGTAGCATTTGGCAGCGGATACGAACACTTATTAGGGCTAATTACATAAGCGTAGTGAGCACAATAATATTTTGTTCATTAGATTTTAAATTTTAAATTTGCCTCTACCGGAGAAAAATGCAGCCAAGTGTCATGACCTTTCGAGCTCTTTATAGGATGGAAATATAAAGAGACCATCCTCGTGGACAAGATATGTTGAAATATACTTTGCGGGAATAACCATTCAATCTTTTTTGTCCCTACAATTCTCTCTCTATGTATATAATATATATATCCATGTAGCCATGCCTTTGATAAGATGTTCTCTTGCAGTCTTGCTTCACCATAATATTGAACTTATTATCCTAGCTACCTTTCCAGACTGGGAAAGCTACCAAACAACATGAAAAAACACTTTTCTTTCTTTTGAGAAAACTAAAGAATATACCTTTTAGGGCGTACTCAGAAATTTTGGTAAGCGGTGTCAAACTTTATAGAAGAACGGAAATAATAACTTTAATTATCATATTTTTGGACAAGAAATAGCCTTATGTCTATTGGTTTTGTTGAGTCTTAAGTTAGAACACAAAGGCTTTCTCAAATATTTGCAAAAAAAAGTGTTAGTTGTGGATCGAACCTTTGGCTTCTTAGAGCAAAATCAAGCACATAATCAACACACCAAGATACAATATATGTCAAGTAGTATCATTTTTTTCTAATTATCCGTTTCTTCACGATATTAATACATATATCTAGTAAAAAAATTCGATAAAGTGATATTGCGTGACACCGATTCGTCAAACATGCATCCGCGCGCCAGCCTTTATATATGTTGCTGTAGGAGAAAAAAGAAAAAGAAATAGGAAGTAGACAGAAAAAATTTGGAGGAGAATAATATTGATAGCTACCTTTACCTGGGCATACGTGATCTTTAGAGATCTTGCATGTGGACTGTTCTCTATATAAATTGGGATTTGTGGTCAATTTCAAATTACAATAAGATGTATCCACGTTACTTGTAGGAAAGCGGACCACAAAAGTTTTTTTTACGACATTACAGCTTAAACTAGAGAAAATGACAATAATGGTCTCCTACGTTTTAGGGATAAGGCTAAAGTAATCCCTTAAATTAGTTTAGGTATTCATCAAATATTTAATAAATTTTTATTGTTAGATTTAGCGGAAATTGTGATCGAAGAAAACACATAATGGTATGGAGGCGTAATTTTTGCAATTCCTTCTATTTTTAGTCTATTTCTAGTGTCTGGTGTAATGTTTTAATGTATGATTTCGCTAATTTGGTCTATTTCTAGTTTTTGGTGCAATTTTTGTTGTACGTAGTTTTTGAGATTTGACAAGATTTTCGTGGTGATTTTGGTCAACCTTCTCTTCATGGTTCCCCTTAAATTTAACGACCAAAGTTTTTTTTTTGATATTTACGTTAATATAATTATTAGGGTGTGTAGCAGAAAATTCACTGATAAAGAAAGATAGAATTTAAGAGATGAGAGGTGGTTGATTGAGTAAGGACTAAGGCAGTCATTCTCATCCTCCGTAGTCCGTACAGCTCAATTTGGTACAACTAAAGTACTATGGTCTTTTTTTGAGCTTCTATTACTATTAGTATTTTATATGTGTATTACACTCCAAATGGAACTAACTATTGCTTTCAGCAAGGAGATACAACATCTTACTAATTCCGTGTCATACTAAAACTTTTATCAAAGCAAATCCAAACAGAAGGTTCATGAACCATCTTTGGGATTTTTTGACTTTACTATTCCATATTTCTCATTTGATTTTTCTCATCTTTAGTGTGAATTTGTTCACATTGTTGGTTCTCCTTTTGTTTTGTTGTCCTCTTGAGCCGAGGGTCTTTCGGAAACAGTATTTTTATTCTTTCGAGGTAGGGGTAAGGTCTACGTATACGCTACCCTCTTCAAACCTCACTAGTGAGATTTCACTGGATCGTTGTTGTTATTGTTTGTGGTGGTAGTTCTTATTTCATTTAAAAGGAGAGAATTGCAGTAATTGATTATTAGTCTATATAAGATTAGTTTATTTATGATTAATCATTACAACATCAAACCTATTTTGTCACAAAATTAAAATAAAAACGAATTTCTCCCACATATACTATGATTGTACGCATTAGCAAATTAAAATTGCATAAAAAGAACAAAATATAAATGTGATTTTCAAGACAAGTGTAAGACATTTTTATTTCTGATCTATAGTTTTTTGCAACTTTCTTCTTTTCCATTCCATGTTGCCTTTC